GTTGGGTATGGAGTGGATGATGATGGGACCAAGTATTGGTTGGTGAAGAACTGTTGGGGCAGTAGCTGGGGTGAGGAAGGGTACATTAGGATGCAGAGAGCTGTTGATGCAAAGGAAGGCCTTTGTGGCATAGCAATGCAGGTTACGACATATATCAAGTTACTGAATTTCTATAGGTAATTGAAAATAATAGCCAATTAATATAATATAATGTATATATATATATATATATATATTAGCTAGTATTTCTTTTTGAGAAATTCAAGAAAAACGACCTATCTAATTCAGCCAATAAGCAAAATCAAGAACTGAGGTAAAAGATCGTATTTTTATTAATTTTAAAGGTAAAAGGTTTCCTTGCCAAGGCAACAGCCTTGATTAAGGCCTTTATCACTTTATGTGAGTTTTTCTTTCACGTTTTTTTGGATAATTTTTCAACGGAAGAGCCAAAATGGTGGCTGAGCCGAAGCTTCGGAGCACCCTCTTTTTTCTCTCTCTCTCTATATATTTATATATACTTGATGAATACTAATATATTATTGTAGGTCAATTCTTTTTATTTTATCATTCTTGTTTATTTATTTTTTATTATAGAATTTATCAAATTAAAAAAATAAATGAATGTGATACGTTAATACCTCATTTTTTACAAAGTTTATTATTTAAAAAAAGCCTAAAATAGAAATTTAAAAAAACAAAAAATTAAAAAATTAAAAATGAAAAAATGAAAAAAAGAAAAGCTGATAGAGATTGTTATATATATGGACATCCTATTGAGTTAAAAATATTAATTTATTAGATTGAGTATCAAATAATATGGACATCTCAAAATTAGTCAACACAAATCACCCTAAATACACTTTTGTCTTGTTCTCATTTTTCGCAAAAAGAAAATTGATCCATCCTAATTAAATATCAATTTAAAAAATTGGCCCTATCAGATCGAGAAGAATTAAACCCATTGGATATAAATTGTTTTTGCATATTTATTAATGGACACCTTTTGCTGCAAAAATTAGTTGGTAAAAAATACAAAAAAAAGAGGTGAAAAAGAAAAAAACCAAATGATGGTACCACCTTAGAAAACTCAATTGGCCTTTTTTTTTTTTAACAAAATTAATTTAATAAAAAAAGGCATAAAAAGAATAAAAAAGAAAAATAAAAATAAAAATAAAAATATACAAAGAGAACAGGTATTATGTGACATCCCAATTAAGCTTAAAATGTTTTTTTTTTTTAAATTAAGGTATCAAATAATAATTTACTAATAAAAAATAAAAAAAGTACAAATAAAAAAAAATGAAAAAGGAAAAGAGAGATCATTGGAGTGTTATATGGATATCCAAATTGAGTTTAAAGTGTTAATATCTTAAATTAAGGTATAAAATAATAAATTTTAATATAATACACATATATAATTAATTAGACAATAAAATATATACTTTTATATACCACGGAATTGCTTGATATTGAACATCTTAAATTTGCTTTTGACTTATCCTCATTTTCTAAAAAAAAAATGACCTAACTTCATTGATATTGATTTTTACTAAAATGCCATATTGAATTGAGATAAATCAAAATCTATTAGATACTGATTGTTTTGTTACATTTATCAAAGAACTTATTGTTGTAAAATTAATCTAATTAAAAAATAAAAACTAAAAAAAATAGAAAATAAACAAATGGAAATGCTACATGGACACCACCATCAGCATTATTTTTTACAAAATTTATATAATAAAAAAAATAAATGAAAAAAGGAAAAGTAAAAAAATTAAAAAAAAATACCTCTTATTGGATCAATTTGGATCAAAACCCATTTGATAAATTGTTTTACTATTCTTATTCATTGGGTCATTTTATTGCAAAATTTATATAATTAAAAAAAATGAAAAGGAAAAAAAGTTGGGTTTTGTGTGGGCACCTTAATTGAATTTTTGTTCACAAACTTATCGAAATTAAAATTTTAAAAAAAGTTTACAAAAAAGAAAAATAGAAAGAAAAAAAATGCAAAAAATGAAAGAAACATAAAGTGTCAATGTGACATTTTGAATGAGGGTAAAACAAAAGTTAAAATAAGTAGAATTCATATAATAGATGGATGGATTATATCTTAATTATTTATAAATATATAATTTTATTAAATTAAGATATTAAATGAAAATTCAATTAATATAATACATACATATAAAATAAAATAAATAATTAAAAAATAATTATATATACTTAGGTTAAGACGAAAAATGCTAAACTTGTTACTGATCGGACCTTGATTTTAAAAAAGGAAAAACCTCGACTCAATGATGGATTTTTTAAAAACTAAATATAATACAATGGGACAAATTAATACTTATGAGATATGAGTTATTTTGTCATCGTTACATCATTAACCTTTTTTCTTACAAAATTTATCTAATAAAAAAAGAGTAAAAAATTTTTGAAAAAACAAAGGAATGGAAGACAAACAAGAAAGAAAATGGAGCAACGTGGATTTATTAAATCAAAGTATTAAATAATAGTTTTATTAATATAATACTTGTATATTTAAAATGTAAAATTAAATGAATAATAAAAATATATTTATATATACTTGGGTGAAGCAAAACATATTAAACTTGCATCTGACTTGATCTTGACTTATGGGAAAAAACTTGATCCAATCTCAAAAAAAAAAAAAAATTTGTTGGATCTAAACGAATTGAAACCCATAAATACGGGTTATTTTGTAATCTATATCTTCATTGACATTTTCTAAAAAATTTATTTACTAGTTTTATGTTGCAAAATTTATCTAATTAACAAAATAAAAACAAAAAAAGGTGAAACGCATAAAACAAAATATTATGCTATCTGTACACATACATTGGGGTTTTTTTTTAAATGATCCAATTAAAGAAAAGGAAAAAAATTAAAAAAAAAAAGAAAGTTTAATTGCTATGCAATATTAGTAATGATGAGTTTTTTTATTTTTTTATAAAATTTATATCATTGATTTAAAAATAACTACAAAAAAACAAAAAAAAGAAAAAGAAAAACAAGTCAAATTCGAATGTGAGTTGACAACCCCATAATATCCTTTTCTTAAAAAATTATCAAATTAAAAAAAAATTAAAAAATAATTTTTTTTAATCAATACTATCAAATATGCCTCCACATTTAAAAAGGTTAAAATATTAAAAAAATTATTAAATATTAAAAAAGGAGAAAAATAAAAAAAAAGGAAGCAAATATCTTGATATGTAATTTTCTCTCGATATCAAATGGGTTAAACAAAAATAATTTAAAATCTAAAAAACTATTTATTAAATATATAAAAATTAATAAAAAAAAAATGCAATCATATGACATACTTTTGAGAAGCATATCACCTATAATTATTATAGTGTAGTTAAACAGTCTTAATTTAGCATTGTATTGGATCCATAAAAAATAATGTAGGGCTTATACATTAAATCATAGATTCTTATATAATTTTTTATTGTAATTGACTAATTGTAGCATTATAATAAAGAGAATTATAGGTGTTATGGATTCATACTTTAGTCTCAAGTGGGTCTTACACAAAAAAGAATTTAAAAACTAAAAAAATTAATTAAAAAAAAAAGAAAGAGATAAAAAAAAAACCTTCATATAAAGTGATTACCTTCTTAAAAAATTTTAATCTTTAAAAAATATTTATTAAATTTTTAAAAGAAAATTGAAAAAAAATCTTAAAAAGACAAAAAAAGAAAAAAAAAAGTGAGGAAGCGCTACGTGGCACTGCAAGGGTGAACCATATATGCATAAAATTTAATGTATAAATAGATTTTAAAATGAAAGAAAAGAAGTTAAAATAAGGTCTTCTTTTGTTTATTTACGGATAATAACGTGTTGGATTGAGATGTTTTTTTGTTTATCCTAATTCTGACTTAAATTCTAAAAAATTTTATTTGATTTTAACTTGATTCGATATCATATTATTACTATTAATACTTGATCTTGATCCAATATATATATGTATAATTTGCATTTGACACATATCTAACTTGAAATTAATTTAATGACTTTAATTTAGTATAATATTCATAAAAACATTAATTTTAATATAAATTATACTTTAATTATATGCAAATATAGTATTTTTATTAAATTTTTATTTTAAATTAAAATATTAAATAATTATTTTGTTAATATTTATACGTGTATACATATATAAATATAAAAGTAAATAAATAAAAAAATATATTTTATATATTGCAAGATATGTAGGGATGAAATATCTTAAAATTTCCCTCCAACTCGACCATTGATTTAAAAAAAATCCTATTTCGATTTATGATAAATCAAAATTTATCGGATATGAATTATTTTTATTAATTATAAAAAAATTAATACATATTAATAATGAATTAAATGATTAACAAATGACAGATTGAAAAATCGATAATATTAACCGTCTTGACGCTAAGAGATCATACATGAAGATAATTCCCAACATCTGCTCCCATACCTTTAGTTTAAAACAATTGATCTCCTCCCAAATTTTATATATATTTTAAACAATTACCGACCAATTGTTTGACAATTAGTTAATCTTTTCAATTTCTAAACTCTTCCATAGAAAGAATGTTTGGGTTGACGATCTTGAGAAGGGGTCTGTAATTTCCTTGAAAATATTTTCTAAATGTTATTTCTTCATTAGTTGAAATGATGAAAAAACAGAATGATGATTTTAGGAGGGATGCCTGCAGTTAAAATATTTTAGAAAAGAAAACCTCAAGCATTCAATCAATTTACAAACATAACTGGATGTGATAAACTAGTTTTTTGGTGTAACCCCCAAAAGATATCGCTTTGAGTAATAAACTATTAATGAACAGCTTTCCTTAATTGTCACATGACTGAAAAGGCACGATGACACCAATTTTGTTCGGCTTAATATATATGAGGTTAGCTATTTTGAATACAAAATCCAACTTCTTCCAAACCACTATCACTAACGATAAAACTGTCTGTAAACTATACCTGTACATGGATTTAAGTTTGAACATTAACTCCATTCATTCTACCCAAACCAATTCTGATAATGGGTCTTCATCAGAATATCTTCAAAGGCACGTAGATAAGCAAGAAGTGATCTCAAAGTTCCTAAAACAAGTATGTTATTCAGTAAATTTTTTACTATGTAAGTGTAAAGATTCATCAAATTTTAGTGTGCCTCATCAATTTTCAACTCTTCAATCCTAGCAGGTACCCCGCCATGGCATACAAAAGCCAGTACCAATGCAATTGTTTGGCCTTAATCTTCACAGTTGGTGCTTTAGTTTGTCAAGCTACATCACGCGCTCTTCAAGATGCATCGATGTATGAAAGGCATGAGCAATGGATGGCCCGTTATGGACGAGTGTACCCGGACAACAATGAGAGGGAAAGACGTTTCAATATTTTCAAACAAAATGTGGCTCGCATAGAATCTTTCAATAGTGCCAATAACAAACCTTACAAGCTCGGTGTCAATCAATTTGCAGATCTTACAAACGAAGAGTTCATTGCTTCTCGAAATAGGTTCAAGGGCCATATGTGTTCCAACAAGGCTACGACTTTCAAATATGAAAATTTCACTGCATTACCTTCTACCGTGGACTGGAGAAATAAAGGAGCTGTAACACCTATTAAGGACCAAGGCCAATGTGGTATGTTCAAAGTTTTTACAAGAAATAATGATTTTTGGTTCTTCTAGCTAGTTATTGGTTCTAACTGTCGATGTATGATTAAAATGCAGGAAGTTGTTGGGCATTTTCGGCTGTGGCAGCCATGGAAGGGGTAACTAAACTAGCAACAGGTAAGCTAATTTCCTTGTCTGAGCAAGAGTTGGTTGACTGTGATACCAAAGGTGAAGATCAAGGCTGTCAGGGTGGTTTGATGGACAATGCTTTCCAATTCGTCCAGAAAAACAAAGGCCTCACAACTGAATCGAATTACCCTTACAAGGGAGTTGACGGCACATGCAATATCAACAAGGAAGCCAACCATGCAGCAAATATTAATGGACATGAAGATGTGCCTGCCAATAATGAAGAGGCATTACAGAAGGCAGTTGCAAACCAGCCAGTTTCTGTTGCTATTGATGCTGGGGGGTTTGAATTCCAGTTCTACTCAAGTGGTGTATTTACAGGAGATTGTGGCACTGACCTAGATCACGGTGTTGCTGCTGTTGGTTATGGAGTGGATGCAGATGGGACTAAGTATTGGTTAGTGAAGAACTCTTGGGGCACTAGCTGGGGTGAAGAAGGGTACATTAGGATGCAGAGAGATGTTGGCGCAAAGGAAGGCCTTTGTGGCATAGCAATGCAAGCTTCTTACCCTACTGCTTGAACTTCATTACCATAGCCTATATATATTCCTGCTGCTCCCGATGTAATATATATATATATATATATATATATATATATATATATAAAACAAACATGAGACCAATAGGAACTTTGATGTCTACTTTCGATATCCTATATATATATATATGCTTGTATTTTCTAAGAAAAAGGAATTACTGAAGGAATGACTTGTGTATTATAAATTCCACATCTCATGAGCACACATTAATTTTACAACTGTGGTTCACAGCCTAAATATGGTGCGGTTATATTAACAGAAGGCCCCATTAATTAATCCGATTCTGTGTGCTAAAAGAAGTTCCTGCTGTGAGTTTGAGAGGGAGTGGTATTAGAGTAAGGCACTGGGGAAGGTGTGCGTAAATGTGTCAAGCATTAGGAAGTCCCTCTTTTCTGCCTAGAAAGCAGTAAATAATCTTATCCTCACACCTTAAACACTATTCTATGTGCTTGTAAAAAGCAGGAGCTCAATAGCAAAGGGTAAATAAACCTTCCACTTAAATGACTGCAGCACCCCACTCCTTTCCTTTCCATGATTGGGAATTGTTTGATCGTCTTTAAGAGGCAAAATATAATCAACTTGAAATCAGGACAGTTATTCAAAATCTTAGTGAAAGATTGGATTTGTTATCTCATGTTTGGTTTCTGTGAAAAAATACTAATTGAAGTGGAGGATTTCTTCAAACAACAAGGAGCTGGGTCAACTATTTAATTAAATGATATTGAGCATGTTTTCCATCTCTTCTTGAGAGGTAAATGGTCTATTTTTAGTAAGGAATTTCACTTATAAAACTTTATATAAGTTTTTTTTTTTTTATATGGACAAAACTTACATAAAATTTGATGGGTGAAGTTTGTAAAGTTTTTTATTAAAAATAAATAAACGAAAACTTTAATAAAAATTTAAACTGATAGATTGATAAAATTCAATTTAAAAATCAATAATATATAAAAGAATTATTTATAATTCAAAATTGATCTATATTTATTCAACGATAAAAATTCTGTTAATATTTTTACTAAAAATTCTTATTTAATAAAAATATAAAAAAATTATTAAATTTTTTAAAATTTACATTATTAATTTATATGATGAAATCTTTCAATTTAACGATTTTGATTGTCGATTTTAGTTTTTACTTGCTTATTTCTAGTAAAGAATTTCACCACTTTCACCTTATATAAGTCTTTTGTATAGAATGCCCAAGGAAAGTTAAAACCGCTCAATTAAATATTCAATTGAGAAATATTAAAAGCATTATGAAAATATAATATTCTTATTACCTGCTGTAAAAATGGTTTTAAAAACCATTTTGGCTGGATTATATTACTCCAATATCTTAATTTTCCTTCTATACCATTTTCTTTTTTTTTTTTTTTTTAATTTCTATATCATTTTCTTTCATTCTCTTATCAAATTTAAAATGTCACATGATATATCAAAGACATGACAATGTCACATGAAATTTGATACCTAACATGAAACAATTATGTTAACATGTCATCAGAAACTAACGGTTGGATAGTGAAAAAAAAAACATTATCATTTAAATATAGTGATCAAATTGTTTTCAAAGTTTGATGACCAAAATAAAAAATGTCCTAAAGTTAGGGGACTAAGCGTGAATTTTACCCTTAATTCAATGACAGGAAGAAACTTGCGAAGATTTAGCCTAGCAAGCACCAATCCAATTTCAACAACCATTAAAGTTTTTACTTTCTCTCATTTCCTTTTGGACTTTTACTTCCTTCTCTAATCAAAATTTTTTCTTCATATGCCCTGCTTTGTATCATTTAGAAATCAATGTAGGTAATATCAAGTTTCAATTATCCCACCATAAAACAATATTTTTGACTTTAACAATACTAATGTTTTAATAGCTAAGGCTCATATATTTTTGAGTAGCAAAACCTGTCAAATACAGATATGAGAAGAATGAAAATCCTATATATGTCATTTTAGAGTGGTTAATTCCCAAGCTACTTAAAAATAAACCATCATTCTGAGTTCAAACTTGATGTTGAGCTAGCTACTCAAATAAACTTTCGTGTTTTTGCCCTGCTGTAGGTGACAGCTTTACTAAAAGTTCATCATTAGAAAGCTCTCAACATTGATTTCAACCTCTTTTCTTTCTGTTAGACCTGAGACTGAGACAATGAGATTCTTGCAAATTCTAATCAGACTTTGTGAATAACCTTAGTGTAAAGCCAACGAGTCTTTCTTTGGAATATGATTCCATGACAAGCTAAGGAAATTGCAAACCTTGGAAATAATTACGTTGTTTTTAAAAATACACTTCATCAAATTACACATGATTCTATTATTAAATTCCAATATAAGGGAAAATAGAAAAAAAAAAAAAAAGAAGGAAATATTAGAACCTTTATGACTGTCTATCTTAAATGTTTCGAAACATGTTTCTAAAATCTCCTCTTTAAAGGTTTGGTATACTTCGAAGTTGAAGCAGAATTCTTTCCAAATAATGCACCGGACTTTGTTATGGCCTTACCACTGTGTTTCAAGAAGCCAATGTAATGAGTGATTCATTCAAATCAATGGATGGCTTTTCAACGTAAAATTGAAAAATATAGGTAAGGATATTACCTTGGATGACTCTGCACTGCTTTTTTCTTCAAGGCTGCAAGATTTTTCACTTCTTGACTGTTTAAAGATGACAGGAGAAGAAAGGAAACAATTAATTTCCTGAAATATTCTATTTGATAAATTGGAATGTTGATCCTAGGCGTAAAGCATACTAAAGCATTGTACAAGTTCAAAACCTTATAACCTAATAGCAGTATTTACAGGGTTGTTTAACTGTAATACAGCACTTTCTGTTAATACAACCAAGAATTACAACTTTAAAATTTTAAATACTACTATAAGAAATTCTAGACTAGCTTTGCTTGTCTCAAAAATAACTATACCTTATTTATTAAGGCACTTACCCATAAACTATAAAAGGGAACGATTGGAGGAGGCAAAAAAGTACAAAAATGGCACTGTCACAATCATAAATTATCAATCAAAGGCATTTTCATTGATTCCAACTCCTGATTTTAGCTGCTATAGTATTAATGCCATAAATAATCAATGTTGCCACTCAAATCCAGGAGGCTACAAAATATGCCCTTATGAAATAAGAAACTTTAACTTCACTTTTACTAACTTTTGGAGGAAGTAGGAAACTTTTCCTTATATGCAAAATATTTGCAGTGCTCTTTTTCCCTTTCTATAAGGTTTTCAAAACAACTCCAAAAGAAAAAGATTACCTCTTCATAAAATCTATCTTCGCCTTCTTCATTATGTTGCTCTTGACATCGGAGAGATTGTAGCCAGGTCCACTTCCTAGAAGAAGTATTAAGACTTCATAAATAAAGCCAACAATTCATGAAATGCCCTCTTTAATTATCAGGCACAAAGACCAAAGTTGCAAATATTCCAATAAACGAGACCAATGGACTAGATCAAACAACTAAGCTTTTGAGGTCCAAAGAACGTTACCAGCATAAAAGCTTCTTTTGGTTGAAGGTGGAACCTTAGTGCAAAGCTGAACCTGCCGACTTTGTTTTCCTAATAAAATAGAAATAATGGTACGAAATTATGATCATAAAAAGAACATTTCTCTTAAGTAATTAAGGTAAAGGGTATATGCATCACTCTAATATTTTACTCTAAATACATATGAGAGTACCACAAGAAAAACTCTTTAGTCCTCTCCAATCAGTCTTAGGGTAAAGGGTACATAAGTCAGTAAATGCTTTAATATTTTACGACAAATATACTGGCAACTACCACAAAGCACTCTCTAGTTCTCTTCAATATATTAATCCAAGTACATAGACACGCAATTAAAGGCTGCTTCTGAGTGCAAGTTTGGCCTGATTTAGGTTGCTGGCAATGGTAATTAAGAAATAGTTCCAATTTTCAGCACTTTTTGAATGAAATGGCCTCTTTGGCTAGACTTTTGTGCTTGCAAGAGAAAGCTTGGGGCAATATTGCACTGGTAACTGTAAATGCAAATCAAACCAGTGATAAAAAAGTTCAAGAGACAGAAGCATACATGTAGCAAGCAAGCAACAAGTCAAAATCATGGCTTATGTCATTAAGAATTCAAAGAACAAGGAGCATACGAGCATCTTCTTTCTTGTATAGCTGCTTAAGCCGATCACTTGCTTTGTTCTCAGCCTCCTGAAAATCCTTCAATTTTGCCTACAATAAATCATCCAACTTTAGTAAGGAAATCCATAAAACTGTGCACACCTTAAGTAAAGGGACATTGCTGGTTCCTCAACATTCCACTAACAACCTAAGTATTAGGTAAGAGGACGGCATGAAAGTAAAGAAAGTTAAAAGATTACCTACCTCATACAACTGTCTCCATCTAAATGAAACTTTCTTGAGCTTCATCCTCTCAATTACAAGAGTCATATTCTGATGACCAAACTGCAGCTCATAGAAATTCTTCCAAAGTTTATCAGTTACTGGAGTAAGATCCCTTCCCTAGAACAATCAATCAATCCCTTTTAAAATTATACATATAATCAGAGCCAAATGCCAATTCTTGCACAAACTATGCAATCAACTTACTTGTGTACTCTTCTCCACGTGCAATAATTGATCCACTGTACAATGGGGTAGAATACGCTCAAGAAGATGTGAATCTGTCTCACCGACATCCCCAAGGTATCTTACGTTATCTATCGCCGTCCTAACACAAAGGTCTACCAGTGAAGGAGGTTTCCTCATATTCGCTATGTTCCTGCATCTCTTCTCCAAATACATATTGCTCTAGGAAAAACAAAAAAAAAAAAAAAAATTGCAATATAGTTAATTTCTATTGTTATGTCATAGTTTAATCAATTTTTAGTTGTTACAAATGGTTAGTCTTGGATTTGCAGATAAAAATCAATCATTAAAATTATGAATCTTATTAGTTGTATAAAAAAATTCAACATTAGCTCATTTAGCTCACCAGGAATAATCACCGAGTCTAACATTCTTTAAAACTGCAATATTCTATCTTTCAACATTTAAAAGATTTTTTGTTTCTAAAGTGAAAGAAAATTGTTTCCCTTTTTCTTATCATCAAAAAATAAATTAGTAAATAACAATAATTAATCTAAAAAAAATTGTAACTTAACAACTATATGATCGTATTGAAATCATTGAAAATGGAATTAAAATTAATTTCAGTTCATAGCATCAATTAATAATAAATTGATAAAATTAAGGAAAGAGAGCACTTGATTCGAAGGAGAAAGGGATCAATGAATCGAATTTCGGAGAAGTGATCGATCAAATTTTGAATGCTAATCTTCAATCAGACGAAGTAAAACTTTCTTTATAATAAAGGATTCCATCTATGCTAACATCGCTACAACTATCATGTCTAGCAGGCTATTTTACCAAAATTCATTTATTTCCAAGATCAGCTTCGCTATCGTGCCCTAGGGTGCGCGGCTCGCCATTTTTTTTTTTTTTCGTCTAACGTAAAAACAAAAAAGAGTTTATATATTTTTTAAAAGATATATTTCAGGTTAGTATATATTTTTTATTTAAATTATATCACATAATTATATTATTAAAAATTAATCATTTATTATATATTATTTGTGATAATTAAATGTTAAATATTTATTTTAATAGATTAATTTATTAATTTATAATAAATTAATATTTTTATTTAATAATATAATTATATAATATGATGTGAATGGAAAGAATATATATTACTGTGATATAATTGTTTCCTATAATTTTTCTTTTAAATTTGTATTTGATGTATGTCAATTATCAAATATTTAACATTCGTAGCAAATCAAATTATGATACTATATTAGTAAAAAATTAAAAAATAAAATTTTTGTGTATTTGTTTTAAGAGTTTTGTAAGAATTATATTTATTTTTTAATCAGTTATCATAATTTGATTCGTTGATAATATATTAAAAAAATTTCAAATTAAAAAATAATGATATTAATACATGTTTTAAGTTAACATTGTTTGAATTTAAAACAATAAAAAGAATAAGTACAAACATTCTTTTTTTCTTCGAGATTTTTAAAAGTGTTTTAAAAAAATTTGAATTGAATAATTCTTTTAAGGACTTAAAGCTAGATGCGTTTATTTTCATATTCATGATTGAACCTTAATCAAGTTGAGTTAGAGTCGATATTTGGTTTTAGGTCTTGCAAGACCAATTGGTTCTCAAGATTTGTTTTCAAATTTTTTTTTATGGTACCTCAAGGTTTACTTTCACGCTTGGAATTTATTTTGGGTTTAAAAATTATTAGTTGGATTTGAAATTGGCAAATTAAGTTTTAATCTCTTTTTTTTTTGGTAAAAAAAATTTGGAGGTGGATAAGTTGTTCAATCTCTCAGGTAAAGATAAGATGTGTTGTACTTGATAACTTAAGATATGTGATTGCAAATCATGCATTCGAAATGATCCTAACAAGTGATCACCAACAAAACTCAAACCCAGAATTTTTTTATTAAGGTGAACGAATCTAATCGATTGAACCAACTACTTGTTGGTAATTAAGTTTCAATATCAAATTTAGCTTTAAGCCCAAGAAAAATTGGATTACCCCATTTTTTTTTAATTTCTTTTAATTTTTGTTTCATTATTCTTATGATTAATTTTTAATATCAATATGAAAAATTTAAAAAAAAAGGAAAAAAAGCCTTTGAAAATGTGCCAAAAATTTTGAACATTTTAAAAAGTTCGTGAATTTGGAATCAAGAAAAATAATCAACTTTGGAAAGGCTTGACAGCAAAGAAAATAAAAAGGAAAATCAAAATCAAAATTGGATCCAATTTTCAAATATTTTGTTTCGATGAAACCCCAAAATTTTTTTGATTAAATAAAAAAAAGTATCCCCAGAAAAAAAAACCTATAGAACAACAATAAGGCGAAGTACAAAATCATCTTTCAACAAGCAAAAACCATAAAATAAAAAAAAAATGATCCTATCCAATATTGAAAACACTATCTCCATTGATTTTAAAAACACTATCCAATGGTTAAAATTAGTCCACATCACTTTTTTTATTATTTTTATTAAAATATTGAGTTTTACTAAAACTTATTTTTCATTAAACCTATTTCTCGTTTTACTCTATATATATAATTATTTGATATTCTAATAGTGAAAATTTTTTAATTTCACAAACGAGATTAAGATAATTATACATATTTTATTTTTTTAAATTAATTTTTTTAAATGTATAAATGATATGTATTATCATCTTAATCTCACTTGTAAAGTTAAAAATTTATATTGTTAATATATTTAATAATTTCTTGTATATATATAAATATATATAAATATATATTAGAGTTTTTGCAACTGTGAAACCTTAAATGAAAAAGGCTTGCTATATATCTCCTTAGTTTAATTGAACTTAAACTTAAAGAAGCAAGTGCTAGTGTCACGGGTCGAGACTTAAGCTCCAAACCCGCGAGGCTCTGGGACCCGGGCATTCATTCTTCTGGCATCCCGGATCAGCTTGACCACCACGGTTCATACCCTTGTGGGGTATTGTCCGCTCTGACCCCCCTTGGCCTCACGATTTTATCCTACAAAAGGCGCCTCACAAGGCAGAGGTGGTGTGAACCCTTATATACCCTAGTGACCCTCCTATTATGTTCGATGTGGGATTCATGACTCTTCCTTAGGTCCGTGACATTCTCTCCTACACAACCTCGTGACGCCCTCGTCACAGAGGCTAGCCACCCTGCCTACCTCCCTCGAGGCAGCCCTTCCCATTGTTTTAGTGCCCGTACGCTTGTGTTTTAGACTGACTTACGCAAGTTAAAGAGAAACATGATAAGAAGGTAAAATTTTGGAAATGCTTTTGTATTCACTGAAGTAGAAATGTTTGATGATATACAAATGAGGGTGGAGTAGCCCTCTATTTATAGTTGAGGCTTCAGCTTACACTTAATGGCAAATCCCTAGAATAAATGCTAAATCATGGGATTATACAGATTACAATCAATCAGGATGCCAACTCCTGATTTTCAGGGTCAACCAAATCTGTCAGGATGCTCCTGCTTGCTTTCAGAAGCTTCCCTTGTGTGTCTAGCACCTTGGGCCCTTCTGGATGTGGTGCGGGCAGCTTGTATGCTAGGCCTTAGTCTCACGGGCTGGCCTGCAAGTCGAACGGGAGTTCTGAACTCGTTTGCTAGGCTTTGCGCACAGATACCTGTCAGCACACCTGATCTGCGGACCTTAACCTTTGGCTCGCCTGCTGGTCTATCTGATGTGCGTGGCGTACCCGTCTAGGGCGTGACATTTCTTGTCACGGGTCAAGACTTAAGCTCCGAACCCGCGCGACTCTGGGACCCAGGCATTCACCCTTCCGAAGTCCCAGATCAGCCTTCCTGCCACGGTTCACACCCTTATGAGGTATTGTCCACTCTGGCCCCCCCTGACCTCACAGTTTTGTCCTACAAAAGGTGCTTCACAAGGCGGAGGTAGTGTGAACCCTTATATATCCCAGTGACCCTCCTATTATGTTCGATGTGGGATTCAGGACTCTTTCTTAGGTCCGTGACATTCTTCCACACCCAACCTCGTGATGCCCTCGTCACGGAGGCTGTCCAGCCTACCTACCTCCCTTGAGGTGCTTGGCGTGGATCGAACGATTTAGGGCTGGCTCTGATACCACTTGTCACGAGTCGAGACTTAAGCTTCGAACCCGCACGGCTCAGGACCCGGGCATTCACCCTTTCGACGTCCCAGATCAGCCTTCTTGCCACGGTTCACACCCTTGTGAGGTATTATCCGCTCTGGCCCCCCCGCCTCACGGTTTTATCTTACAAAAGGTGCCTCACAAGGCGGAGGTAGTGTGAACCCTTATATACCCCAGTGACCCTCCTATTATGTTCGATGTGAGATTCATGACTCTTTCTTAGGTCCGTGACACTAGACTATAGCATGAGAAGCATTAATTCTTACGACTAAAGCCTTGAAGGACTTGTACAAAAAAAAAAACATATCTTGTAGATAGGTTGGTTTTATCAAAATCCTGTAAAACTCATAATTTAGTTTTAATTATTCATTAATTTCCATTTTTTCCTTTTTCACGTTTCTTTCATTTTCTCTTATTAACCCACTTGATCCTTCAATTTCTCCCATCTTCTCTATTTGTCACCAATTCATACTTTAATCCTTTAATCTCTTACTAATCACCCGATCCAATCCTTCAATCTTTTTCACGCTTCCCTCTCCACTTGCCACTCCACTCCATTTTTCTTTTGTTTCTCTTAACAATTACAAAACAAAATCTCCAAAGAATGCCCAGTAAAAGCAACCTAAGGCAGCAACATTCTCTAGCAATCTTAGATGCAAAAAATTGCAACAAGTAATATGATCTCTTTTGGAATTTTTTGCAAGTTTTCATGCTAATTTTGAAGATGATGAAAAGGATTTTGGGATTAAAAAGATTAGTGTTTTCCGTTAGGCTAGATTTTATTGGATAACTTTTATTTATTTTTATTTTTATATTTAATGTTAAATAAAAAAGACTCTTATACTTTTTTTTTGTCATTTTGGTATCTAAAGAAATAAAACTTTCACTTTAATACTTAAATTTTCATTTGTCAAGTATTTTAATACTTCAAACTATTATCGTTATTTAAGTTACTTACATAATATTGGTATCCAACAAAATCATTGCAAATAACATAAATGTCAATTATAGTTATATCATCAGCATTTAAATAAAAATTCAAAATTTTTTTTAAAAGTATATGTCTTAATTCGAAATTAAAAAAATGAAAAAATAAAAAAAATGAAAGGAAAAGAATCAGGGAGAAAGAAAAA